ACGGAACGTGGAAAGTGACAGGACGACACTGACTCAATGGCGATGTCGACGCGTTGACGTCAGGGAGGACGAGCGCGAGGACGATAGACGTAGAGACGAGTGACCAGCAGCTGAAGAGGATTGTGCCGCAACGGTGATTGTCACGTTGAGGTAGCGCAAGGCGACACGAGGCTAAGCGGCAGCCAGACGACTGCGGGAGACCGACGACAGAAAACAGCCTTTCACGCCACCGCTCGAGCCAGTTACGCGGCAAACGACAAAGCTGACGCGCCAACGACGAGGACGAAGACGACAGTGACAAAATTGGAGCGCACTAGTGTATGGTGAATGAGTTACAGCAAGTCAATTAACGGCGGATAATTTCTTATCGATACAAATCATCGACTCAACTTGCGCATTGTAAAGAGAATTGTCGATTCAAGTGCATCATTTGAGATATATGCCACAAAAAGCGCCTTCTCATCGCTTATTGTACTCATAACTCTGTCGCTCGCCTCACTCGTTTCCTTTCGCCTCAGCTAGCCACTTCGACGTTTTTGGAAGCGTCGTCAACCAGCAGCCGCCGTAGGACTTGCACCGGATCGTCACCCCCTGGGAGATGTCCATATTCTCCCGCTTCGTGAATCAAATGTCGTGCTTGTTGAACGGTCGACCGATTGAGTAGGTACCCTTCGCTTGTCCGTTCATGCATCTCTGTGTGTCGTCTCACGTTTGAAACTGGCTGGTATATCTTCGTCAACAGCCTTGTGCACACACATCTAGGTATGATCTATAACTTATGTTCTAAGACAAAGTTTTTTTCCGCAACACTTTAAATGCTGTGGCTGGATATTATGGAATAACTCGGGCATCGCCGCATTATTTGCTGCTCGCCACCATTAATTAACCTAAACTTTAAGACCATTACTGTAGAAGTCTAACCAATGCATGGAAATGGAAGAGCACTAAAGTTTGTAACAGTTGAGGTTTCGATCTTCCCTATACTTTCGTGATGGACAGAACCGTTGCCGCTCATCTTGGAGCTTACGGAACAATGCTGGTCTCCGCTTCCATTAAATTAATCAAAAATGATTTATTTTAAAGGCGATGTTTGCAGCTGTAAACAATTAGCCTATTGTGTAATTTCCCACAAAATATAACTCGCTTGTAAAGACATAATGGCCTAATGTTTCAATTTCTGATGCCGGATTTATTCAGCGTAAACGCTTGGCCCCCTTGCTATTAGTCGTTTAGGGGAGGAAGCTTCTAAGTCCGCCATATTTCCATTGTATTTAAACACCTGCAATGCAATGGAATATTCGGTGTCACAAACTGAAAGTTATT